AAGTGTCACCCAAACAGATGGTTCACTTCAGATCTTAAACCTTTTCTTTATATCAGGGGTATTGCTTATACAGCTAGAAAGAACCTTCCCTGCTCAGCGTTGGTAATTTCTGGTGGTTCTTTAAAGGACTATAAAAAAAGTTTTAAGGTTAACACTGACTTTAACAATTTACCAAATTCTAAACGCTCTGAAATGCTGAGAAAATAGAAGAAATCTAGAACAAGGTGGAGTTTCTCCTCCAATGACAAGTGTACGGAAAAGTAGTGTGACAGATGTCACCTTAAATTGATGCAAAGGTTGAGTCAAACATTAAGGAAGAAAATCGGAACAGGCAGGCATCAGGAGATCGTGTTTCATAAATTGTTTTTGCACTTTGGCAGCAAATGGGGATCACAATTGTGCTTCCAGGATTAAGATGTTTTAGAAAACCCTTTTTGCAAATATCCCAAAGAAACCACCAATAAGGGAGGGTATTGGGATGCTCTGTGATGCTACCCTGCGTGAGAGGCGTTATACAAATGCAAGTTAAATGCAATTATTATTGGATTTTATTTTTTTCAGGAATTCAACTCAGGGTAGATCATTCGATTTGTATAAGCAGCACCTCAGATATTATTTTTTGCATTCCAAAACAAAGGCTGACCTGCTAATTGACAGCTGATGCACATTGGAGAGAAAAAAATACCAATAACACAAACTTACCACCACAAGTAAACATCTGGAGTTGACAGGCCATCTATTCCCTCCTGGTACTTTCTGTTCCCTTTGACATAAGGCAGTGCCTTGTCAGATAAGACTTTTACTGCTAACTTTTCTGTGTAAAAGGGTCTGATTGAAAGTCCCTTACTTTCACCCTCCTTGTTCTGTTTTGATAAATAAGCAGTCTGCTGCCAGGATTAAGACAGCTTACAAAACACTACTCTTTAGTTACTACAGTCAGCAGAAAAAAAAGGCTCCACAACAGCCCCATTCTCTGGTGCTGTTTGTGAAAAGTACATCCCTGAATGTCAGTTAAAAAATAAATAATTTGTCGATTCTCCATGAGGTACCTAGTCTCTCGATTGGGACATTTGAAAATAAGAAAATATGACACAAGAAAAGGTCATTTGGCCATTAACCCATCCCTCCCTTGCCCCCAAAACCACTCTGACCAGGGACTCTACCTAACTCACTGAATCAATCCCCTGAGGGAAAGTTGTATGTAGCTAAAGATTAAAATCATTCACCCATCTCGGGACTTGGACCAGCTCCACCATTTGTATTATGTTTCTGAGTGTATGCACTAACCCACAATGTTTGAAAGAAAAACATGTTATCCAGGTGTGGAAGGGCATCATTAGGTGACTAAACATATTTGGGTGATTTTTTTAAAATCCAGGATCCAATCCTGCAGTATTTTTTCGAGTAAAATTATTCAGGGTTTAAAATGATTGTATGATTTCTACAGTAGGACCACAATTTTGCTGTCAGCCTAGTTCACTTGGTAGCACCCATCGTTTCCTGAGTCATATGCTTATGGATTCAAGCCCCCACATCAGGACTTTGAGCTCATAGTCTAGGGCAATGGTGGCCAACCTGTGGCCCGCGGACCGGAAATGGCTGTGGGAACATCAAGAAGAACCATACACACGAGTCTCGGTAAGTCTGTGTTTGATCGATACTAGGCATAAATGGCATAAATCAAGAAATACTCAATCAAGAAAATGTATTTTGTTGGCCAACCATAAAGGTCTAAGCTCACACTGCAGTACCATGCTGGGGATGTGCTACATTGTTGGAGGAGCCATTCTTCATGAGACAGCGAGACAAGATCCTGTCTGTCAGCTTGACATTACCTCCCAACCCAACTTTTTAAATGCCCTCTTCGCTGGTCTTCCCAGCTCCATCATGCACTGGATCCAACTGATCCAAAACTCCACCACCCGCCTACTCACCCTCACTAAACTCTGTACCCCCATCACACCAGTTCTAGCCAGGCTCCACTAGCTCCCTATCACCAAATGGATTGATTCCAAAATCCCTGGCATCCCCTACATCTCTGACTTACTTACCCCCCAACCCATAACCTGTTGCCTCCGCTCGACTGGCTCCGACCTTCTGCATGTCTCTCGTGCCCTCCATTCCATTATCTGGGGCAGCGCTTTAATAATAATAATCCTTGCATTTGATATAGCGCTTTTCATGTCTTCTAGACGTCTCAAAGCGCTTCACAGAATAGACTGTAAAGTGAATTGACTGTGCATTTGTGGCCAAATCGCTGCAGCCAATTGCGCACAGCAGCATCCCACAAACAGTTGAAGTGACGAATTTATTATTGCTTTTTTTTCTTGAGGGATTATTATCAGGCGTGTGGAGAAAGGAAAGTTTCAAGTTTCACCCTGCCGGGAATCGAACCCAGGTCTCTTGCTTGTGAGGCTAGCGATCTAACCACTGAGCTACAGGACTCCACAATGTAGTGCTTTCAGCCACTACATCCTGAAACTCTAGAACGCTCTTCCTCTATCCCTCTGCCTTGCCCCTTACTTCCCTATCTTCAGGTCACACCTGAAGACCTTCCTCTTCGACTGTGTCTACGGTCACCTCCCCCTCCCCGGGCTTGGTGTCATGCTCCACCACTATCAAGCGCTCTGGGATACTACCGTGCATGAGGGGCACTATATAAATGCAAGTTGTTGTTGTTTTGGGCACTATTCAAAAAGAGAAGGGAGTTTCTCCTAGTGTCCTGACCAACAATCCCCCAAATAAAATTGATCTCTTGATGGCTCTTTGTGGGGCTGTCGTTTTAGCCTTCAAAATAACAGACATTGCATGTCAAAGTATATTCTATGAAGCACTTTGAGACATCCTCTTGACGTGAAAAGCACTAGATCACCTGCCGGGAATCGAACCCAGGTCTCTTGCTCGTGAGGCCGGATTATTATTTATTATTGTTAAGAGTAAAAGATATAGAATGCTGAGATCCTCCCTCCGATGGTCTTTTTGTGAAGACGCTTTATCAAATAAGTAGTGTTATGCCAACATCTAACAAACAACTCCCACTTAAAATAATTGCTAGTCGACTCCTGTGATTATATTTAGGCTCTATATCTCAGTTCCCCATGCTATATGAATCATCACATCGTTCAACTAAAAAACTCCAATAATGATCTCTGGGAAGCCAGATAAGTTTCAGTCAACAGACACAAAGTACAGGTCGACCAAAAAGTTGTGAAATCATTACAATGTCTAATAAGTCTTAAAGAAATTATGATTTTTTTTAGATAATATCACAACTTTTTGGTCACCCTGTCATTGCCATAAGAACAAAAAAACACGAGATGAGAAAAGACAATTCATCAATACACTGTTTTCACAGACAGTAGGAAACCTGCCTTACTGTGGATCTCACTCAATACACTCCATCTCCCAAGGCTAGGGGCAACATTGTGAATTTCCTGATTCTCAATGCTATTCAAGCAAAAACTAACATATTCATCCTTTCAACAACAACTTTCCTACATATCCATAATTAAATTTATCCTGATTCCTTCCATAAACATGAATATCTTCCTCACCCCAACTCCATCTCTCATGGCGTATCTGTTCATCATAGTCCATAGTCTATAACTGTAGGTGTCAGCTTGGCTCAGTTGATAGCACTATCACCCCTGAAGGCTGTATATTCAAAACTCATGTTGAACACAGTCTAGGCTGATACTCCAAATGATTGTTGAGGGTGCACTATTGGCGAAGGTGCTGTACTTCTGATGTGATACTAAATGAAGTGCTATCTGCCTGTTTGCATGGATGTTGAAGATCCCATTGCAGCATTCAAATAGAGGAGTTTCTCCCAGTGTCCTGGCCAACAATCCCCTCAGTAAAATTGGTTACTCACTCCATGGCTAATTGTGGGACTTTGCTATGTGTCAACTGGCTGCAGCAATCGCCTACAAAACATAGTCACTATATTTCACAGTACATTCTGTGATGAAGGTAAGAAACAGAAAATAGCTTAGAATTAATTTCAATTCAAAAGAAACAATCACATAATGTGTGGATTCATCATTCAGCACAAGTCGTTATGCAAAGGATAAGCAAATTACTGTATAACTGTTAACAGTCCTTCAAAAGAGGTTTCAAATTCAATCAGACATATTCCCAGCAGAGACGAAAAATGAAAATGCAGGAAATTGGAAAGCTTCAACAGGTCAACCAGAATTTGAAAGCGAAGGCATATTAAGTGTAACTGCTGTTGGCTGTGTCGTCCTTCAGATAAGACATTAAACTAAGGTCTCCTGTATGTCTGTCCAGGCGGACTTTAAAGATCCCATGGCAGTTTTCGAAAGAAGTCTCTCCTGGTATCCTAACCAACAATCCCCCAAATAACAATCCCTCTCAGTCCACAGCTTTTGTGGGACATTGCTGTACGCATATTGGATACCGCATTCACCCACAAAATAAACAGTCACACCTCCTTACAATATATCTTGTGAATCACTTTTAGATGTCTTGGCACTACATCAAATGCAAAGATTATTATTATTGACAATGCAGGACTGTCTAGCTTGCAAACATCCGACATGCTGCTGCCAATAATGCTCCATTGTTAGCCAACGTGAGCTGTGCTTTTGTGGGATTGGTCAATTTTTTTAAAACCACCTCCTTAAATGGTTGCACATGCAACGAGTGTCAAATATTCCATCTCGTGATGCGGCTGAGACCTGTTAAAACTCATACACCACCTTAGTTTCACTGTCGGTTGGAAACCAGAGTACTTCTGGTAATTGTATGGTGATAAATTGTGAAGCATTAACATAAATGTAGTTCCTTTGCTTATACAGAATCATATAGCATCCACACACACGCACACATCTTGTAAGACATGGCTCCCAACTTTGTCCTTATTATTAGCCTTTGGAACTCACTTCTTAAAAACATTTGCTTCAAGTTTTAGCAGTTCTGGACAGATAGGTGGATAATTATCTTTTTAAAATGAAGCAAAGAAAATGAAAAAAAATTACCTAATTGTAGAAATAGATTGGCCGTTACGACTCCAATGAGATTTCCCTCATCTCGAACGCCTACAGTAAATGTGACATTTCATTAACCTCAAGTTCAATGCAGAACATCTAAAGAGAATCCAGTGCTGTCGTCTTGTTGAAGATAATCCAGTGCTTAGGTCTTCCTTTGATTGAAAGAGCCCATTATCATTTCACCTTCCTCAGTTGCAACCAAACTCAGACATCCAAAGAATGAAGAAGGTCACCTAAGAAACACAAATACATACAAGTTAAATACCTTAATTCATTTCTCTTGGCTTGCTTTTAAATTCCTCAAAAACTTCATTAGACCAGTATTTTAAAAACCTATGACCACAGTCTAAAACTTGTTTTTGCAACAGTCTAAATGTAATTGAACTCTTTCAATAGTTTCCAATGTGTTCCATAATCAACACAGTAAAACTATTGTAAAACTAATTTCTGCAATAAAGACATCAATCCTGAAAAGATTGCCTAAATTGTTTAAGACATATTTAAAATAAAGGAGATTAGAATATTCCAATTTATATGTTGTACTTTACACAGAGCCATGTCTTATGTTATTTTTACAGTCACACAGAGATCTGCAAGCGCTACATTCTAGAATCACACAGCACAGAAAAAGACCGTTCTGTCTATCGTACCTATGCCGGCTCTTTGAAAGAGCTACCAACTAGTCACACTCCCCTGCTCTTACCCCATTGCCCTGCAAATTTTTCCTTTATAGGTACCTTTCCAATTCCCTTTTGAAAGCTATCAGGAAGCCCATTCCAGAGCGTAACAACTCTCCCCTCTGGTTCTTTTGCCAATTATCTTAAATCTGCATCCTCTGGTTACTGACCTACCCGCCAGAGGAAACAGTTTTTCCCTATCTACTCTATCAAAAGCCCTCATAATTTTGAACACTGCGATTAAATCTCCCCTCAACCTTCCCTGCTCTAATAATATAATAATAATAATCTTTGCATTTGATATTGCGCCTTATCACGTCATTGAGATGTCTCAAAGCAGATCACAAAATATATTTTAAACTGGATTGACTGTATTTTGTGGGCAAAATGCGGCAATCAATTACCCACAGCAGTGTCTCACAAACAGTCATGGATTGAGGGACCANTTTTTTTTAGGGATTACCCCCGGAAAACAATCTGCCAATCAACTAATAAACGGAGTTCCTACTTACTGCTAGGTAAACAGGAGTGTGGAGTAAGGATATTTGCCTAAGATTTCACCCTGCCTGGGAATTGAACCTGGGTCCTCTCACTTGCAAGGCAAGCGTGCTAACCACGAACCACTTTAAGCACTCCACGAAGGGAGCTACATAAATGCTAGTTCTTGTTGTAAGATACAGGACTAATGGCCTATTAAGGAGAATAATCCCAGCCTGTCTAGTCTCTCAACATAATTGTAGTCTCTGTGGTATAATTCATAAATGTCCTCTGTGCTGTCTCCAAGGCCCTAACATCCTTCCTAAAGTGTGGTGCCCAGAATTCGACACAATACTCCAGCTGAGGCCTAACCAGTGATTTGTAAAGGTTTAACATAACTTCCTTGCTTTTATACTCTATGCCTCTATTTATAGAGCCAAGGAACCCATAACCTTTTTCAACAGCTTTGTCAATTTGTCCTACCACCTGGACTTGTCCTGCCACACCTCTGTATTCATCTGGGAATTTAATACACAATATGGTCTAAAGTTCAGTGAATTCTAATGGTACTCATTAATAAGGAAGCAGGAGGCAACTCATCCGACGCAATCTACTTCTGAAGCACTCTGACGTATAATCTGAAATTTATAATCCTTATAATCCTTAGATTTCATGCAGCACCATTCACTCCAGCAAGTCATCTTAGACTGCTTCACTGGAAATATGACAAAGTATTGTGATTGTGGATTTGGTAGGAGAACAGATTAAAATTGTAATATTCAAATCTCTTCTTTTTAAAGTATGATGTAAAATGACAAACAGAAGAAGCAATGATTGGATGAATTAATGCTCTTTAGCCTTGAAAAGAGACATCTCAGATGGAAACTTCTTTAAGATTTTAAATAGAATCGAGAAAGTAAACCTAAAACAGTACTTTCAGATATGCCAAGGCGTCAGAATAAGGTGATACAGATTTAGAGTTTCAAAGATCAATTTCAGGGCAAATAAAGTAAAGTATTCTTTACTCAGAGGGAAAATAGCAAGTGGAACAAGTTAGCACATAAGTGGCTGAGGCCAGGAAACTGGACTAATTTCAGAAATACTTGATACTGAGTCCTGTAGCTCAGTGGTTAGAGCACTCGCCTCGCAAGCGAGAGACCTGGATTCGATTCCCGGCAGGGCGAAACCTTGGACAAGTTTCCTTACTCCACACACGCCTGATAACAATCCCTCAAGAAAAAAAACAATAACAAATTGGTCATTTCAATCCACGACTGTTTGTGGGACACTGCTATGTGCAATTGGCTGCTGTGTTTCACCCACAAAATATAGTCAATTCACTTTACAGTATATTCTGTGAAGCGTTTTGAGACATCGCGAAGATATGATAAGGCGCCACATCAAATGCAAGAATTATTATTAATATTATTTATTACACATTCTAGAATGAACTCTGAAGTGAACATCTGGAACCTCTTCCTCTTATGTGAATCGTATCAACCAGAAACCATCTTTAACAGTAATACTTGACTACACGTTGTGCCATAATTGCAACCATCATACACAATCATGTTTGGTGTAATATATTGGATGAACTCATTGACTCGAGATCCATGACATTACGTAAGCTAAGGAATCAATGATTGAGTAAAGCCATAAACACAATCGCTATTTCATTCTTATTATTAGCCTTTTGACACTATTTTGGACATCCTGTGAAGAAATTCTTGACAGAAGATCAGTGGGATTTCAATCTTGACCAAAACAGGTTATTTACTTAATTTTTAAAAACTTACAGAAAGTTAGATAAGAAATGAGCACAGACTGGGACAATAGTAATTGTAAAGAAAATTATACAAAATGAGACAAAAATCAAAGGAGTAATCTTTTAGATCAGGTTTACTCATCTCTAATATTAAGACCAATTTTATTGGTGCACTTCAATCTTGCGAGAACAAAAGAGATCATAATAGGTGACAGTGTGAGCTACACAAACATGGCTTGCTTTTCACTCTCATTCCTCTTTAGAGAATTCCTTAATTTCTTCAGAATTGAACAGAACACAACAAAGCAAGTCATAAACTCCAACTTTTAAGTGTCAGTAGTGACACTGTTGGTAGCTATTGTCATTCTGCAACTAAAATGATACAACAGAAACTTCTCTTGGTTTTAGAGATATTCTGATTTTTAGATTCTAGACTTATGTCAACATGCATAAATACATGACTCTTGTGCTACACAAAGTAAATAGCTGCTCTGGGAGTTGAACCACACTATTGAAACTGCATCACAATATATAATGCACAGAATCTGACTGAGTTTTATTAAAAATACATTTGTACTCAACGTTAGCTAAACAGTACATTTAAACATTTAAAAAGAATAATCTTGATGATGATTATCTCCTTTGTCTGGATTGATCTAATAAAATAAGTTTGGGGACCTCACAAGTGCTTAGTAGGAATATAATAATAATACTCCTTGCATATGATATAGCGCCTTTCATGTCTTCTAAATAATAATAATAATAATAATAATAATCCTTGCATTTGATACAGCGCTTTTCACGTCGGGAGGACATCCCAAAGCGCTTCACAGAACACACTGTAAAGTGAATTGACTGTATATTTGTGGGCGGACGCGGCAGCCAATTGCGCACAGCAGTGTCCCACAAACAGTGGTTTGAAGTGACCAATTTATTATAGTTTTATTTTCTTGAGGGATTATTATCAGGCGTGTGGAGTAAGGAAACTTGCCCAAGTTCTCAGCCTGCCGAGAATCGAACCCAGGTCTCTTGCTTGCAAAGCAAGTACTCTAACCATTGAGCTACAGGACTCCACATAACATACAATGTCAACTCGCCACAAGTTTGCCTGAAATTGTCTCATCAGATGCTGAAAGGCTGTAAAAATGGTTCGCGTGGGAAGGGGAAATGTCACAATCTCAAGACATTTGGGCTTTTGGCACATTATTCGGCAAATTAAAGAGAGCATTACTCTCGACATCTGGCTCTTTACCAAATCTTAGATGTGCATCAGCCTGGCTCAGCTTGTCACATCTGAGTCAGAAGGATTTGGGTTCAAATGTCATGTAAATCCTGTGAAGCGATTTGAGACATCCATCTGACCTGATAAGGCACTATACCAAATGCAGGGATGATTCTTACTATCTCATCTGGTAAAGATTGACTTAGCACAATCTCCTTTCCTTGTGAAGCTGGTTTGAATCCTGTTCCGATAATGGGATGAAAGTTTGCCCTATACAGTTGCTATAAAAGCCTTATGTGAATTGTGTATCTCAGTCCAGTGCCTAGTGGGGATAGTCCTATTTCATAAATTTGCTCCAAATTCAATACTAAATGGCATTGTCACTGAGTGCCTATAAGATTATTGGGACTGGAGATAGTTTGGTGCAGAAGGGCACCACACTCTTCTGGTCTTCTGATGCTAAACTGTGGCAGATGAGAGGGAGATTTCCTCTGTATTTGGCTATGCTATTTACGTCTGTCAATGCTTAATACTGACATTGCACAGTTGTAGATTGGAAAATGTTCTCTTCCCCAGTGTTGACATCTCTTGGCTTAATCAGCACCAAGATACATCAAAGTAAAGCTTTGTGCCACAATCTCTAAATGCGTGATCCATGACTTGACCACATTTGAATTGCTTTCCTATTACTCAAATATGTTAGGAATTTATACTTTTAACTAGCAGAATAGCCAGACTCCCCCTCCACCCCCGATGCCACAAAAACCATTGAAGGAAGTTGGGCCATTTGCTGCACTTACCAACTAAAATAATGGTTTCCAAACAAAGTAGGTCAGTCAAAATTAATTAATCACAATTTGTGACATAAATTGAAGTGACAGATTTCCCAGTGACAAAAGTTGCAAAACTGGTATTCCTAGTTTATTGACAATGAGTCACCCTATAATAAGTTGATTCTTATCTCAGATAAGTGAACATACTTAATTTCTATAAGGTTAAAACCTATGTCCATAGTTACATAAAGGCATTTAAATATTGAAATTTCCTAATAATATAATAATAATTCTTGCATTTGATATAGTGCCTTATCAC